AAATTTCCTGAACAGGTTTCATTTTTATTATAACTTTTGATTTAAAACATCAAGTTTGATTTTCTCATCCATATATCTACTTACAAATATCTGTCTTCAAAGTTCTAGGTGCTATGGCTCAGTCCTGGGTATATAGTGCTGAACACAAACCTGGCTAGGAGAGATAAAGGCAAGCACCAATCACAAATATATAATTGTGATCATAGTGGGAGCCTGAAGGAGAAGTATAGGGATTTGTGAAGCCATAAAAAGAAGGGAGCCTTACCCATCCCATTTAAGGTCAGGGAAAGTTTCCTGGATGAGTTGAAATTTAATTTGATACTGAAGGACGAGTAGGAGTTCATAAGGCAAAGGACAGGGTAGCAGGGGACAGGGAGGGCTGGAATGAATGATACCCAGAGAATTTCACAGGACGCCATGAGCTATATTCCATCATGCTAGGTTGACCAGAGTACATTGCTGCCTGTGGCCCTCCTGATTATGTTTCTTAGAGGCTTTACTACTGTGATAAGGCCTGTTGACTCTCCTGACTCTTCAGCTGTCCTCACGTACTGCCATGGCGTAGATCTCCTGTGAAGGTCCTTACCAGGCCGATCTGTGTTTCTTCCTTACCTGGATGATGTAACAGTTAGCCCTTTCGGACAGTAACATACTTCTTCACCGGGGCTGTTCTTCCTAATGTATGTCTAGGTTGGGAGCCAGCAGATAGTAACAGGTGGGCAAGATCAGCTCACACCTGAGTCTGGAGGCAGCAGCTGTGATGCTCTGAATACAGGCCACAGGCTCTAGTGCCACAGGGTTCTGCCCTGGATTCATAGTAAAGCTCAGGTGCTTAGAGTACTGACTTGAGTTCTCTTGGTTTTCGGTTTTTTTCCTGCAAAATGGCTGCAATGGGCCTCTTACCCAGCAAGCCTGAGGAGTGAAGGAAATGAGACAGTGTATGTGGACTGCACCTGGCACAGTGGACAGTGGTGATGTTTATTGAGTGTTTGGTCTTTGGCCCCTACCAAGGCCTGTTGCCCTATGTTAGACGTATGTGAGAACCTTTTGTTGGTTGATTAATAAAAATGGATTTATTTGGGTCCGTATTAAATGTTTTGATTTCCTCTTCAGTATATTAGGCTGTACAGTCTTTCCAGGAGCTCTCAGGAGTTCTGACGAGCCAGTTATACCACCAGCTGGTTTTTAAGAAGTTTGTCAGTAATGGTACAAGGGCCATGAGTATGTCATGCGTACAGGTCTTTTCTACCTGCTATACAGTGGCAGCTATAATCTAACAAAAGCATGGCACTAAGTATATCAGCAACAGCTACTACACTGTTGACTTTGGTTTTTCCTCAAAACCTCGGCCACATTTAAGATTATCGGAAACAGTCACAAAAAGCCGAAAGTTCTGGAAACAATGTCTGCAGTTCTAGGAAATGTTCAAGGTTGGGTTTCAGACCATGACCAAGTTCTACATCAGCCTCTTTCTTCAAACTGGAACTTTAGCTGCATTCTCTTGAAGTCCTCCCTCCTGGGTGGCTCACCATGTGACCTGAGTGTCTGACGATTGTCTACAGAGCTCAGGAGCTCGCCTGGCAGGCTGCACTTATTCGGAGTATGGGTGTGAGTGTGCTGGTGACAGTGACCTGACATCGGGGCAGGTGGGGGTTCTGCTTAGGAAGGAGTGTTTGTAGGCAGCCTTCTCTGGTCCACAGGAGATCTCTCAGAATCTAGCCTTTTGAGAAGAGGTTAGACGTTTCATAGGAAAGAGAAAGGTTGTGTAGCATGGCTGGTTGTAAATACAGTACTACAAAGAGGAAAGAGTTAGGGTGTCATTCTAGAAAAAAAATTCATAGCATTAAAATACAAATTGCCATTAAGAAGCTGTCCTCCAGCTGGGCTTGTTGGCAGACATCTAATCCCAAGTAATCTCAGATACTTGGAGGCTGAGACGGAAGGATCACAAGTTTAAGGCCAGTTTGGATAATTTAGCAAGATGCTGGCTCAAGATAAAATTGTGAAAAAAGGGCCAGAGATGTAATTTAGCGGGACAACATTACCTAGTATACATGAGGTCCTGGGTTCAGTTCACAATACTGCCAAAAAACAATTGCCTTTCATATAAGTCAGATTACTTCATAAACTCATTTAGGTTTCATTCCAGCCACCACAGTGCTATCGGCTTTGCTTCAGATTTTATTTGAATTGCCAGACTTCTTGGTTTCTGAAATAATACTTCACAGTTTGAGAATAGTTTCTTGGTCTTTTTGTAGCTTAGTTCACTTCACAAAGTTTGCGAATTTGCCAAAATAACTAATAGAGTATTTAACATAGAAAGCTTTAAATTATGTCTTAATTATGCTAAAAGACTTAGTTTATATTAAAGTAAGTAGCATAAACAGATACTTCATTGCTACCTTGGTTTTAATCTTGTACTTTGGTAAACCTTCTACAGTGATAAATGAATTTTTTTTCCATTGGGAAAAGCCAAGTTACTGTTGTTTTTGGTTATACAGTGACATTCCTTCAGACTGTTTGTAGTTAGCCAAAGGCAAGAAACTGTAAAATGCATTGGCTGCTAAGATGCTTATTTCCTCAAATTTCAAGATAGAGACCTCTTGAATAGTTTCTGCTGTTTTTCGGTTTTCTTTGAATGTTTCTTAAAGTTTGCATTAAAAAAAATTGGGATAAACATTTTGCAGTTATTTGAGAACTAGGTTACAGTAGCCTAGTCCTGACTATTCAGTACCTAGAATTTGAGTGCCTCTGAATTCTCACAGATTTGTGTTTAACTGTACAGTAGACATCTCCCTGGGAAAAATAAACTGCTTCCTTTTTATTTCTCCTCCATTCCCCTAAATCCGTGTCTTCATTAATGATTTAATAACCCACCTGTTGTGTAGGTGGAAACTGTGATCAGGAAGCGCAGCAACTTCGTTGACTTCCCATCTCCTGAATTTCTGCAACTTATTCATTTTGCCTTTAAATTGTTACCTTATAGACATCCTTTATTTTTGCTTTTCTGTTGCCAGTCTTTATTGTTGTGTGCCCATACTAGCCCTTCCGCTGCTGGCTGGTTTGCCATCTGTTTGGGCTTAGTTTTCTCTGTCTGATTGATGATTTACTGACTTCCTTACACCTCACACAGTTTCTCATTGTCAGGCAGTAAAATCTGTGCCTCTGGCCTGCAGACTTCTCTCTCTGCCCTTCCCCCTGCAGGCTACACCTCAGCTTCACTGGGCTGCCAGTTTCAGAGTGAAATCCTGCTGGTGCCACGTGGTCCATTCTGTGCTGTCATCTGTTCCTCAGCTTCCATCACACCGACCTTGTGGCTGGTGACCTATGGTCCAGCTCTTAGGTCACCACACCTGTGTTAACTGCACTGTCAGTCACTCTGCTCCCTGGAGTCGTCAGGATACACCTCTCACACCAACCAGTTCTCCAACTCGCTGGGTACCAATTGGATGTCCTGCACTGGAAGAGAGTGCAGATATCACAGATTCAAAGATTCAGGCCCACAAGACTGCCTTCCCTTCAGAAGTCAGTTGCAAGTATTGGTCCTCAGGTTACCCACATTTCTCTTCCACTTAGCTATGAAGTTAAGAAGTCCCCCAATTTACCTCCTAAAGGCTGATTTGCTAGAGCAGTTCACAGAACACATTAAGACATTTTTCTTTCTGTTAACTGGCTTATTGTGAAGGAAATAGCTTAGGGACAGTCATAGAAAAAAACGCACAGGGAAAGCAGTGGGGGCAGAGCATCCATGCTCCCCAGTTGCTGCCTCCCTAGCACCTCGGCGTGTTCCGCCTTCTGTGAAGCTCATTGCTTGTGGGTTTTGATGAAGGTATTATTATATAAGGTTGATGAAATCATGGGTCCGTGGTGACTCAACTCAACCTTCAACTGTCTTCCCTTCTTGGATGTTAGGAGAGAGGGACTGAAAACTCCACCCATGTAATCATGGCATGCTCTTTCTAGTGACCAGCCCTCATTCTGAAGCTACCTAGGACCTCCATCCATCAGATATACTAACATCTGTTGGCATACAAAACATAGTTATTAATCAGTGTGTGCAAATCACACTTCTGTTGCAGATCCAGTGTTGTATTTAATTGTACTTGGCTCCATGCCTCCCATCTGTCATTCAACTGTAAGTGTCCAGAAGAAAAGGATTATTTCTTATTCAGTTTTCATTTAGTGACCTAAATTCCCTCTGGCATATGACCAAGCTTCTTCTGTGTTGGTTCCTGATTACTACACTGTCATCACATTTTGATGTATATACTATCATTTACACAGAATTAGTGCAGTTAACATTGCATCTCTAACATTGTACCCAAAAGTTTTGAAAACACAGATTCAAACAGATAGTAATATAAGAACATTTATAGCAACATTACAGAAATAACCCTATTCATCAACAAATGAATGATAAGTAATGGCTGTGTCTAAGTGCATGTGTGTATGTGTGTGCGCGTGTGCGCACGTGTGTGTTGGTAAGTACACACACATGCTGTACCTTGCTATCTGTACACTAAATCTGACAACTCTGAATCATCATGTAAATTAGTAAGATATTTTAAAACCATGCATATTAATAAGTTTAAAATAATGTACTTATTTTGAGAGAAAGGACATATAGAATTGGGTTTATATGTAATGTGTTTTTAAGAATTCATTTAAGTGTTTTATCATGTACTTTTCAATACAATAAAATATGCAGTATAACCCTGGCACCCCATATCTAGGAAATTCTTGGAAAAAAATCAGGGAAATTTGTATTCTATAATGAACTCAAAGGCAAAGAAGTGTTTACAGTTATCAGTATTACAAACCAATATGTATAAAAATTTTAAATTTAAATGAGATTTTTGTAGGTTTTTGGGCTCTTTTTGGATTGCTATTGTATACTGCTGATATTTTAAAACTTATACGCAGTACTAACGTTACATGAGGATAGTCTTCTCTATTAAAGTACATGGAAAAAGTGTAAATGCTATTTTTTGTTTTCTCAGATTCTTTACAGAGTTGGAAGCAAGACATCAGAATAATATCCTCATAGAAGATATAAGCGACATTGTAGAAAAGCACACAGCATCCACATTTGATCCCTATGTGAAATACTGCACAAATGAAGTCTACCAACAACGAACACTACAAAAATTGCTGTAAGCAGCGTTAAATGCTAACAATCAAACTTAGTTTTAATTAGGCTCACGATTGAAATTAACTGACCACTTGAATTATATTTAGAAGTGCCTCCTGAGGAGTTTAGGAGGATTACTTTTAGATTGAAGATACTCGAGTGAAAAAATCTAGTCTGTGGAGTTTTCTCTCTAAAGCACTTACGAAATTATAGTTGTTCCTGTTGTGCCTGGTTTTGTTTTGATTGACCTAGACACAGGGGTGATCAGAGTTCAACTTCCCAGTTTTGTAAACTGGTACTGGCAATTAAGTGGTTTGCCTGAGGCCTAGAGCGGGATCTTAAATAGGTGGAGGCAGAAGCTAGCGCTCGGGGTTTTCTCTGCCCTTTTAATCTTTCTCCCATGGGAATTGCTGATTCCCACCCTCCCACTTCCTGGCTGAGCTAGGGCTGAGAAAATAGGGAAGGGCCCTGATAAAAAGGAATAGAAAAAGATATTATTGAAGATTTTAATCATATTGCAAAGAAGAGCCAAGTGCTAATGTCCTCTCCTACACACACACACACACACACACACACACACACACACACACCTTTTTTCTTTCGGTGCTTTTAAGAGTTATGATGTGAGATATATGCCATCTCCAGCTTTGTAAGAGTCAGGTTGTTCAGAATTATCTATATACCACCTTCTTTTTAGTGACCTTAATTGTCACAAGCAGCTTTTTACAGCTTTTGCAGTTGTAAATTGCAGCGGTAAAATCAGCTTGCCTATTGTCCTTCTCATACCCTGCTGTGATCCTGGCATTTATGATCAGAGCATGGCGCTCTGGTCAGCTCTGTGCAGTGTATGAGTTCCCTTTGGAGATGATGGGTGATGAGTTGGTGATGATTGCCTATTGGCTGCTTGGAGAAATAGTCAAGGTCCCCATGTTGTCAGGAAGGGTTGAATGTACCCCTCTGTCTTCCACATCACCATGAAATGGTCATAGGTACAGGTTGGAAAAGTCACATCTACCAGCTTCAAATGTGGTTTTTCATACAAATAAAGATGTGTCTGCATTATTAACATTTCAGGCTGGATAAGTCTTTGTTACGGAAGGCTGTCCTGTGCATTGTAGGGTACTTAACAGCATCCTTGATACCCACTTGATTCTAGAAATGCCTCTGGACATTGTGGAAGGTTCCTTAGGGGGACAAAAATCACATCATTCACTTATTCTAACCCAACACACTGCTGGGATGTGCTTATGCAGAGACAGAAGTCATTCTGAAACTCCTGAGCATGCCCAGTCATGTTTGGAAATAAAGTTTTACATTAGAGCTAACTTTGGAATCATCTTGTTTTGTAGGATTTTAAAAATGTGAATAATTCCTACTGTATACTACATACTCTATACTGCTGTATAGTATGTGGCTCAAAAATAAAGATGTTATCTAAATTACTTGAATAACATCATCTTGCTAGCTCACATGGAAAGGAGGGCTGTTTTCAGAAACTTTGTTGCAGTTGGTGTGTATTGGCAGTTGAAGCGGAGACTTTAGAGGCACGAAACACCAGGGAGTCCTTGAAGCCCAGCACGAAAACAATACTGAGTCTGTCTCAGCCTATTTGATCAGAACCTTTAGGAGTAAAGGAGGAGACTTAGGACATGATATTCTGGTTTCCCCATGTTATTTCTAGTGGGCTTGAACTAAATAACTGAATTTTCCAATTTTATTTTTAATCACATTGCCACTATTTTGCTTCCTGGTTCTTTTCTCCAGAGCATGGGAGTGCACAGTCTAGTGCTGATCCCGTGCCCCTTCACCGTGAAAGGTGACAGTGGGCACTGTCACAGTGGAACCTTCACAAGGTAGAGTGAGCTGAGAGAGAGAGAGGATGTGATAGTTAGAACCCTGGGTTGAGAGCCAGAAGACATCAACTTGACGTAAGGCCTCAACTTGACTTCTGTCTTTGCCAACTGCTAAGTGTGTGTTGTATGGCAAGCTACAAGCTTTTCTCAGTTTCGTTCTTTTACTGGAATCCCCACCTAGCCTTTCTTTTCCATGCAAGACAACATATGTTACTTAATGTGTTTTGTAAAAATGTTGTGGCATTGTTACCACTGGCCTTACATCAGAGGAAAGGGAAAGAAGTATGTTGGTAGTCAAATGGCTATTATTAGACAGAGGACTTGAAAAAGTCCAAAAGCTTAATAATAAGCTCAGTTTAACCAATATGCCTTCCTTAGCTCATTCATTGTCTAGGGTTAGAGGAGTGGCTTAATCCATGGTATTTATCAAATGGTGGAATGTATTTATAGATGATCAGGTAGGAGGTCTAGTCTACTTAGTAATTTATATTTGGCATGTCCACTGGGACCTTTTCATTTGCCTGTATTCCATGTCTACAGAGTTCTGTCATAGACATTTTTATCTAGTTAATATTGTTATGTGACTCCATTCTCATATTTAGCCTTGTCATATGTTGTTGTCTATGTAATAGTATGTTTATGTTTATTTAACATGATTCATAACATGTATTTAATATTATTATTATTTGTAATATATATCTACTTGCTGCTTTGCTTGAGGAGGAAAGATCCTGAAGTTTCTTGTATTTTTTATTTTCCTTTAGAGCCACCAATCCCTCTTTTAAGGAAGTATTGTCTCGAATCGAGTCCCACGAAGACTGTAGGAACCTTCCCATGATCTCTTTTCTCATCCTCCCCATGCAGAGGGTGACCCGGCTTCCCCTGCTGATGGATGTAAGACATGCTCTGATGGCTTTTTCCTCAGTAGATAGTTCTGCTGCTATACATCTGATTATGCTATACATCATATTCCACTTAGATTGATCCACAGCCTGTCTGTAAAATCAACTAATTCAGTAACAAGACATTGTTTAATTGGAAAATCTTAGCTGTGATTGAAATCTCTGGAATTTAAGTTCATGCAGTCACTTTAATGAAATTTGATTACATTAGGCACTTACTCAGCAGTTTTTGAGATAGGAAGAATATCAGCTTCTTTTTTTTTTTTTTTGTTTTGTTTTGTTTCTGTCTTTTTCCCTTTTTTTATCGGTACCGGGGATCGAACTCACGCCTGCCTGCTTGCAAGGCAGGCGCTTATGCCACTGAGCTAAATCCCCAGCCCCTAGAATATCAGCTTCTTAAAGTTCAGAGGCTGAATTCCATTTCTGACTGACCCAATAAGCATAGATCTTGAGCAGATCATTTACTTTGTTTGGGCCTCAGTTTCCTTAGATTGATTACCAAGATCTTTGCTGTCTGGCCTACTTAAGATGCTCTGGGGCTTCCATTTCACATGAGAATGAGACTTCCCAGCACTACAAAGATTAAACTTGTTCCTACTGTGTGTTGTGAAGAGATTTGGAAAGCCCATTATTCTTTTTGTGTTAGGAAACATTTGTGAAGAAAACAGTTTTGACTGGATAATAGCAGGGTGGATAATAGCCAAGTGAACAGAGACTGCCCGGCATACACTGCAGCTGTAAGAGAGGGTCTGCATAGAGCTTGTGCTGACCTGCAGAGGCTGATGGAGTGGAAACCAGTGAAAGAGGAGTGGGGACCAACGTAGGTCACACTCAGGTCCTGGGCCAAGTAGTGTCTTTAGATATGATTAGAAGAGGTTGTCACACATCTGTTTTAAAGTTGAGTGATTATGTTGAAATAGTACCAGTTTTTGCAAATCAAAACGCAGGAAGAAATTAATTCCATTTCTATGTTCATCTTAAATTCTAAGACATTCTAAACAACAGTGACATTTAAAATGCATCAAATGTGACCATGGTCACTTTGTTGACTCTGCTGTTCATGGAGGCTTTGTGGGTTGTTTCAAAACACGCAGCTCCTTGTTCTTCTCTTAGTTCATCTCACTGTACTTTGTCCACACCCTTCCTTGTCACCCGTCACCTGCAGGTGACATTTGGAGGTTATCTCCTGCACAAACAGCATCATGAGGTGCTTAATGATGGGGATACATTCTGAGAAGTGCATGGGTAGACAATTTTATTGTCGTGCAAACACCATCAAGTGGCTTTATACCAACTAAGACATCAGCAGCATCTCTAAGTGATACGATCATACAGACCACTATCTTACATGTGGTCCATTATTGATCCAGACATCAATGTAAAGCACATGGCTAAAGTGATAAACTTGAAGTTTTTAATATTTAATCGATATTTTTAGATCAGTATTTATTGTGTCTGAGAATAAACTATGGCTGTCCATCAAAATCAAATTTTGAAACAATTATTTGACTAGAATGAGACTTCCAAGTCTAGCATAACATGTTGTATGCCATGATTGCCTAGTGTCCTCTCAACTTTTAGAGTCACAGAATCCTTTGACATTACAAGTGAACCTGTAGCCTTTGCCTGCAGAAAATTCCTGTAGGTACAAATGTAATATAAAATTTTACTATACAGGCTCCAACTAATTATGCCTGTTGTTGGCATAATCCAGCATTTTTTATTTTGGCTTTATATCCATTAGTGAGTCATGAAATTGATTTTCAAATCATGAGCGGAGTTTATAAAAATAAAATGTAGTAGAACATGAAGTCCATGATATGAATGTAGCTCATAGTGAGGTTAAATATTGTTTTATAAAAACCTCATTTAATTTATGTGGACATGAAGACTGGTTGCACAATAAATATGTTTCTTAATAAAAAATTATGAGAACTACTGATATAAATCCACATATGTTGCCCTTTATGCTTCTCACATGTAGCAATTCCAGTGCCCAAATTTCAGATTTATAGGCCTGGTATTCATTCGTATATAACGTGCCTAGTGGCTTGCTGGTTTCCAGCCACCTCATACTTTTATGTGATGCCTGTTTTCCGCATATTAGGATCAAGCCACTAGGCAAAATCTAAATGTACATACAATATTGCCTCTTTAATTTTGCCTCAATCTAGAAATTTCGTTAAACTTGTTCATTGAGAGAAACGTTTTTAGCCATTAAAGTAGATCTGTGGCATTTGAATGTGTGGTTTCCAAGGGATTACAGGGTCACTAGCCCTTAACCAAAAATGCTTAGCATTATTTTTTACTGTGAAATATGCGCATGTGCATAATGAAACGTCATGGAATTAGAACCCAAGTCTAGACCTCATATATATTTTTTCATATATATTATGTTTTCATATATATTCACATATTATAATTTTTCATATGTCTGTATCTTGAAGGTAATTTTAAGCAGTATTTTTAATAATTTTGTAACCGAAACAAAGTTTAATGGAGTACAATTTTTCACTTGTGTCACAACAATACTCAAAAAAGATTTTTAAAACATTTGAGATTTCAGTTTCAGAGTAGGCATACTTACCTATGATTCAGTTTATCTTGAATTGATCCTCTCTGACATGACTTTACCAGTTAAATTCTTCTGCACTTTCCTTAAAACGTTTATGTGAATTATCATTTAGCCCTTGGAGCAAGGTTTTGATACAAGTGATGTTATTCCAGTTTTAGAGATGAGAATACTGAGGTTTATATGGGCCCATTGCCTTGCCCAAGGTTAGATAACCAGTATAAGACAGACCTGGGATTTCAATATGGGCGTACTTCACTCTGAAGCCTTATTTCATCCTCATCTGTAATACTGTGTTCAGCATTAAGTTTTCTGAGAGTAAGAGGAAATAGATGAATATTGGTTTCATTCTGCTTTAGTTGATTGAATTTGTTTGTTTTTACTTCATTGTAGACCATCTGTCAAAAAACACCTAAGGATTCTCCAAAGTATGAAGTCTGCAAAAGGGCCTTAAAGGAAGTAAGCAAGGTAACTGTTGAGCATCTCATGAGAAAGTAAACCATGCAGAAACTCAGGAGACCAGTGTGTCCCGGTTTCTTGCCAATGAATGATAAGTTCTCAGTCATTTAAATGCACAGCATTCTTTGGGTGTTGAAAAGCAGGACAATTTGTGCATAAATGTACTTGGTGTATTTATTCTTTTAGACAGTTTTGTGTTGAAGATTATAGATATTTCATTTTCTTTTGGCATGTTGATTCTTTTCTCAACCAATATTTACTGAGGATCAGCTACTGTGTCAGCCCTGAAAATATGGTGATGAATCAGACAGGTGTGGTTACTGCGTTCATGGTATGTGCAGTGTAAAGAGGCAGGCAGACGTTAAACAGAATTGTAATAAAGCACAGGGAGTGTGACACAACAGGGAAGTACAAAGTGCTATTTAATCTGAGACCCACAGCAAGAGTAGCTGTGAGCCAGGATTGGGAAACAATGTCTCAGCAGTGTATAGACCCCCAAAGGCAGTAAAGTGTTGGATAATTTGAAGAGTCTAATCTAAGAAAGACAGCACTGAAGAGCCAGTTTTGTGAGCCTCCGTTACATATTATAGTAAGTTAGGGACCATATCCTAAGATGATATGGAAGCCATTCATTCACATGATTTTAAGATGACAGTGGAGATGGGACTGTGGGACCAGCGATGAATGCAATTACAGAGCCAGTTGCAATTGATCAGGCAAGATGTGAGGGGCCTTGAGAGACAGAGATAGACCTATAATGTTAGGTAGGTGGGCTTGGAGACTGATTCAGTGAGCACACTTAGAAAGAGAAGTTAAGGAACAAGGTCACTGGCTGGGCAATTGGGTAGGTAGTCTTATTCCTAGCAGGATCAGAGGGTTGACAATGAGTTCCATTTTGGATATGCTGTAATTAAGATCCTGTAAGACATGCAATTTGGCTTGATAAACAAGCCTGGAGCTCAGAGGAGAGACCTGAATTAGAGATCATGAATTTGGGGATATGGGCAATAATTGAAGTTGGGAGTGTGGTTGAGATTACCTAAAGAGAGGGTGTAGGATAAGAAGAAGAGTGAATGTGAAGTAGAATTTGGGGAACATCAGTACTCATAATCTTGTTTGGGCATAAGGAGCCAGCAGAAAACACTTCAAAACAAAAGCAAAGCAAAACAAAAAGCATGCCAGAGAAAAAGGAAGAAAGCCAGCACGGCCTGGCAAAAGCAGACAGTTTGATGATTATTACTGTCATTCAGATAACCCTGAAAAATGAAATGAAGTCAGGATTGAAAAGTTCACTGGGTTTATCACCTGATAGGTTGTGTCTCTGAGTGGGGGCAGAAGCTGCGTGGAGTGTGGTGAGGAATGAGTGGGTGGTGTGAATGAGTATGCTGCCTGCCCGCAAGGGTGCTGGCTGTTGCAGGAATCAGTCTGGGAGTGCAGAGAAAAAGCTGTAGCCAGAAAGGAAGTGAAGAAGGTCTTTATTTACTTGTTTAATGAACTTGTAAGCTAAACTTGCACCTGTGTTTAGCTACTTTTGGGAGTATGTCACTGAGAAGAAACAATAAAAGGTGCTGAGAGTACTGTATGAGCTCCACACGTAGAAGCAAAGCTACAGCCAGAAGTTCCCTAAGCATTTCTGTATATGAATGGGGTACATTTGAGCCATTTTACTGTGAGTTTCTTTTAGTGAGCTTTAAGTGGAGTCATTGTTTTACTTACCCTTGCCAATAATGATGAGAAAATCATGACTATTTCGAGCTAGTTGTTTATTCTTCTTGTATACATTTTATATTAAAAATAATTATGTCTGTAGGCCACTTAAATTAATCTTCTGTTTCATCTGTGGTCTACATACCCATTTGAGGAACGAACACAAGGGAAAAAAATTTAGCCTGACAAATGTGAGATTACCTACTGTTAGTGGATTTCTCCTTCAGGACCCCAGATCCTTGCTGTGTCCCTAGAAAAGGAGAGTACCCAGAGGGTTTTTAGGAGAAGCTATAGAGAAATTCTGGTCTCAGACATCACAAAAATTATGACACATTTTGCATGGTAGTTACTGAGTCCCAGTGATTAGCTTTATGTGAAGGGTAACATTCCTTCCTCTCTCTTGAACATGAGTCATGAACATCAGAATTACTCTTACCGTCTCCTATTATTATAAGGGAACTGAAATCAATATAGCCAACTCAGAAATTAATTTTTTTTTATTTTTGAAGGTTACTAATGAGGTTCATAAGATTCTGAATAAACAGTGTCAGCATTTTCAACAAGAAGAATATGTATATAGGCATCTGTAGTTCACAATTAAAATGTAGAATTTTATTTGTTTGCCTTACCTGAAATCAAAGAATTTTCAGTTTATATTGTAGCAAATTAAATTTGAGATATTGAGACCCACGGTTTTAGAACCAGAGTCTACCTAAACCTCTTAGGTAAGTCTCTATAGGTAATTATTCATTCTTGATGAAAAATATAAGTGACACCTTTTTGGTAATTAAAATGCTAATACAATTTCCAGCACTTCCTTGGTATGAATAACACTTCCATGTAATTGCTCATGCATGTTGCTTAGTCTGATTTTGACAGTTTACTGAATTTAGGGCCCTGGGAAAAGTTATTGGTATAATCAAACAACTCAAACAGCAGAAAGACATTTTGTTAAACGAAAAATGTCATTAATCTCTGGTCTTCCACCAATATAGTGGGTGTGTGGAGGAATTTCTAAGGGAATCTAATAGTTCTTATCAGAATGGTTTGCTGTGCAAGAGGTGGTGATCATGACATGGTTTTTTATTCTAAATTATATCTTTCTCTTGTTTACTATCTCATGGAAAAAGAGTATCTGCTTTAAGGCTCACACTATCAAAATTCTACTTAGCAATGGAATAATCTTACAAGCTTTTATCCAAGAGACAAACTATCTAGGCAGAATATCTTTAATCTTCTCTACCAACAACACGCAGATGTCTGAGCTGTATTGTTCAGTGAATAAAATGAGGATGCAGAACAATATGGTGATGGTTTAGATGTAGAATGTCCTCTGGAAATCTTGTGTTCAGAAGTGGGGCCATTGGTGGGTGATTGAATCTCGAGGATGCTGTGCCCTTTAGCGGATTAATCCATTGAGGCATTCATGACTGAATGTGCTGTTAGGAGATGGGATCTCATTGGAAATGAGTCACTAGGGGCATGACCTGGAAGGATCGATCTGACCCCTGGCTCCTGCCTTCTCTGCTTCCTGGCTGCTGTGAAGCAAGTATCTATCTTCTACTGTGCCATTCTGCCATGCTACTTCTCTCTTGAATCCAGCTAGCCATGGACTGAATCCTCTGAAAACTGTGAGCCAAAATAAATAAATCTGTCCTGCTTTAAATTGTAGGTTTTGTGTATTGTGTCTCAGCAATGAGAAAGCTAATTTAAATATCTGTAGTGTAATGACATTTGATAACTAATAAAATTAATTATTTAACCTGTGTTATTAATATAAAGAATAATCCTAGTAATTATACAATCAGTCTTTCAACCACAGCTAGGGGTGATGAAGCAAGAGAAGTGTGGTAATAGGAAGTAATAAAACTTTTTGATTTTTCATGCTCAAATACTGCCCTGTAAATGTTATTTTGTGTTTATACAGATTATTTTGAAAGTAAATAAAGTAATAAATGTGTATTACAGAAGATACAAGAAGCAGAAAATAAAATGTATCAGTAGTTGATTATATCACTCAGATACGATTAGTTGGCATTCTAATGTGGATCTAATGTTGAGTTTGTATTCCTACATTAGCAGACAAGAATAAACATACACCTGTGAATGTATTTAAGTGCTACACAGCGCATTTGCAATTCTAAGTAGAGCTGTACCGAATATTGCCTTATGTATGATTGTACTTATGTATCATTATTTCTAAAGATAAATTTCTAGAATTGGGCTTATGGGAAGAAAAATATAAGAATGTTTTAAAATCCCCTGTCTCAGGTGCTAAAGTACCCTCTTGCAAAGGTTGCTCCTTGCCTATGACCATAAGTATATGAATGTGTCTGCTATACTGCACACCAAATAGTTTCATGAATTTGATTGATTGATTAGTTCTTTGTTTTAATTCATATTCCCTAGTGGCACTAAGCTTTTTTATGTATATTAGGCCTAAAGTAAAAAAAAAAAAAAAAATTGAATGAAATAAGTGTAAAAAGCTTTGGCAGATCTAAAGAAACTTGACTTTAGTATATGAGACAGATAAATAAAACAGTAGGGCCCACTTTCCCAAAATAGTGCTTGTTCCTTCAAAATAGGCACTTCATCTGATGCCACTGATGGTGTCATTGCCTAAGATATTTGGGGGATTTTGGTGTTTGTAACATGTCTTCTAAGACACCTTCAATTTCTTCAGAATATGCCCAGTGATAATTTGCCTCCATCTTTTGTCGATGATTTAGGATTTGAAAGTTTAAGGAATAAGACAATAAACCAACCACAATAATTTCATTTTTATCTTTATTCTTAAAAACGAATAACTTTTTTTTTTTTTGTCTTTTTCTTTTTTATCGGTACCAGGGATTGAAATCACGACTGTCTGCTTGCAAGGCAGGCGCTTATGCCGCTGAGCTAAATCCCCAGCCCCAAACGAATAACTTTAAAAGAAATGTTCCTTATTTTTATGAGCAACTTGCACACTGCCTTTATTTGTGCAGAAACATTTGTGAATGTCCAAGTTGTGTTTTAGGCAGGTGCTGTGCATAGGCAATTTTATACAGTCTCTGCCCTCCAGTCTTCTTGGATAGTTAAGGTTCAAGTTGAGCCCTGAAAGTTAAGTGGGGGTATGAATGTAGATAAATAAGGGTAGGTCAGAGGTACGGGAGTGAATCAAGAGGCCAAAATGTTGGCAAAGGAGACATTCTAACTGGAGTTCAGGGCAGAGCAGAAAAGAGATATCAAGATGGCGTACAGAGGGGCTGTCAGGGTTTTTTGGATAAGGGAGGCAGAGCAGATGGAGAGGTTGAGTGAAGAGGACCAGGCTTTTGGCATGGGGAGGAGGAGGAAGAGAGGGAAGATACCGGGTAAAGAACACACAGCTGAGGTGAAAGAGTGATAAAGATGATGCTCAAGTTGTCCATAGTGGATTTAAGATGTCTGTGAAACATCCAAAAAGAGATATGATCTAGGTGGTTAGACCTAGAACCAAGGAGACAGACCAAGTCGAGGAACACAGATTTGTGAACTCCGAATATATTCAGTAAGAGATATCATAAAAATACGTTTTGATCAGCAGCTACCTAAACAATGCTTGAATTGCTCCCTGATATGCCCTGTTCCTTTCAGGATATTCCAATTTCAGGTTGCCTTTGACCCCAGCCAACATGTTTTAACTCTTAGCCTTGGTTAGATACAGCCATCAGTCGGTTCCTGTGTCAGTGAACTCGGACCACTTTAAACCAAAGATAAACTGTAACTAAAGATGGGCGTAATGCTCTAAATCAAGATGTCAAGTGAGCAGTTTGAAATTGTTATGTCTTTCAGTAGGAAACTGAATAAATATGCGTATAGTCTATATAATGAAACGAGTAAACTGGATCATTTCACCCCTCTGCTGAGAGCCTGTGCCCCCTTTATCCTGTGCCATCTTCCTATGTCCAGATTTACTTTCGCTTGCTCAGCACACACACCTTGCCATCTGTTCCTGTGCTCATGGTTTGCCCTCTTCCTGGACCGCTTTGATACTCACTACCAACCCCCTCCTTTCTTTCAGCTTTCAGTGTAAATGACCCTCAGTTCAGGCTCCCTCACTTTTTTGTTTTTTCTTTTATGATCTCAGTCTATGGTTATTTTTGTGTTTCTCCATAATGTTAGGTATTATGTGTCTCTTTGTCGTGTTGAAACTCTAGCGCCTCAAACAGAGCAGGTACTAAGTAAATTATTCTATTTTCAATGAATGATGTAAGAGGAAATATTTCCCTATTAGTTCTGACTCCAATTACAAAATTCCATAGACTGGGCGGTTTAAAAAGCAGACATTTATTTCTCACCTTTCTAGAAGTTGGAAATCTAAGGTCCAGGAATGGGCAGATTGGTTGTTGGCTGAAAGCCACTTTCCTGACCTACAGATGGCTGCTTTCTCATATCTTCACCTGGTGGAGAAAGAGCAGAGAGAGAAACCAGCTGTTTTCATGAAGTTACTGTTGCTATTCATGAGGGAACAACTTTCCTTATCTACTCGACTCCCGAAGGTCTGACCTCCTAATACCAGTATACTGAGGTTTAGGATTTCTGCATATAAATTTGTAGAATACATACATTCTGTTCATAGCATTTGTTGGTGAGGAAAGTCATAGACAAGCATAGACTGACCCAAAAATAAAAGAAAAATGTCTACAAATACATGTTTGTACATTCACATAAGCACAGGGAAAAAAGATAAAGTCTAAAACTCAATTCGTTTGCATTACTGCCAAGTAATAGGAATAGGTCAGAATTTTTATTGGCTTTTAATCTAGTTCTGTATTATCATCATTAACTTACATTTTACGTGGAGCATGTAATATTTACTTAATAAAGCATGGATATTAAAAGTAAAATTTCCAGCCATTATTTTTTAACAATCGTATTTGTCCTTATGGCCAGTGAATCATATATGGACTTTTTCCAGATGTTTTAATTAATAAAAACTGCTAACAGTTTTTTTTTGTTGTTGTAGATTTTTAAACAAAATAGATATTAGGTGTTCATCAAAGGACTGTAGATGTATTTCCTTTGAGATAATTCAGAATTCAGTGGGTCCAGTTCAACAAAATTTCCCTTAGCCTGGCAATTCTCCAGGAATCATTGACCATCCCATTTCTCTGAAGGCTTCCCTCAACCCTTTCTTGGCTGCAAACTGCATTTAGCACTGGGCTTGGATTTGGCCTTGAAGTTGTTGGTCTGGTTCCCGCTGCTCTGATTTGGAGGTGGAAGAACGATGCAGCTTGCCATGAGTTGCAAGGGGTTCCCATCTGTTAAGTGGAGGAGAAGGGGCCCTGAAAAGGAGCAGAAAAGTTAGAGACCAGAAGTGCTAGGTGAATGCCTGTGTGAGGTGGGCAGAGTATGGTAGCAGTGTAAAGAGGGTGTGTTCCCAGAAGTAGTTGGGATGTTTCCTCCTGTCTTTACATCCTGGTCACTAGTTCTACCTGGGTACAGTGTGGTGTGACTATAGAAAACCTGAGTTCTGTAACTATCATGAGTAAGTCTCTGGGGCTTCCCAAATGTTAATTATTTCCTGTGAAAGATCCACATTTGAAAGTTTCTGTCCTGGACTTCTTACCCCTGTCTTTCCATTTCCAGTTGGTTCGGCTGTGCAATGAAGGAGCTCGAAAGATGGAAAGGACCGAGATGATGTACACAATTAACTCCCAACTGGAATTTAAAATTAAGGTATCATTGTATTTAAATGGATTACTGCTTTTGCTTAAATCTTATCTGAATGAAGGAAGACAATCAAACACAACAAAGTGAGTAGAAGTTTATACTTTCCAAAGAAGAGCCGTACATTGACAAGTGAGATCCAGCAGAGAAGTTGCAGATGTCTCAGTAAATTCTGCTACCAGACAGTGATCTTTTTCCATGCTAAGAAGTCGGGTATCACCTAAGAAGTAAATGTTTTTACAGGAAACTTGGGGAAACAGATAATTTAAATACAGTAGCAGAAATTTGGTATTTAAAAGGGAGGATTATCAAAATATCCTGCAAGACAGTGAAATCCCACGGGCTGGGTCACAGTGTTCTCTTGACTCATAAGGACACTCTTTTGTTGTTTGTTTTTTTCCTGTAACTTTTTTCAATATGTGCTGCCTGTTAGTGCTTGCTGCTCCCCAGATGACAGGATGAACCAAGAAGAAAATATTGGCAATTAATAGCAAATCTGGCTGCTCCCCAGATGACAGGATGAACCAAGAAGAAAATATTGGCAATTAATAGCAAATCTGGTTCTCCCCGGTTCTGTGTTGATTCACAGTCGAGTTCTTAATGAATATATGAATGCTCACAATTATAATTCTATAAGTATTAAATTTATAGCACATAAATTTAATTAAGCATATTATAATGATTGATCATATATTTTCTTGGCAAAAGTATTCCTAAATTATGCAGTATAATTATAGTGACCAGCGGCATTTCGTGAGGATTCTGTGTGGAAAGCAGAATGTAAAGACAGTTGATCTTATATGACTGCAACCTTTTATTTTATCAATGGAGCAACTGAAATCCGGAGAATAATTACTAGCAGAGTCAATAGACTAGTAGTGGTATAGTAAAAACTAGGGTCCAGGCATCCTGATTTGTAGGACAGTATAAAGCTTTCTGCTGTGGCACCCTGACTGTAACTATTTAGAAGAAGAAACATGATTCATAAAACATGAGGGGTTCATTCACACTACTTAGTGAAATGCTCATTAGAACTAATTAGAAATATTTGTAACATTTAGGATCTCAAGACACTATAGATAAAACTAGGCATCTTTATCCACTTTAAAGATGAGAAAATAGGGGCTGGGGATTTAGCTAAGCGGCATAAGTGCCTGCCTTGCAAGCAGGCAGTCGTGAGTTCGATCCCTGGTACCGATAAAAACGAAAAAGACCAAAAAAAAAAAAAAAAAAAAAAAAAAAAGAAAATAGAAGTTAGGTAATTTGTCCTTTCATATGCATTCTTTTTTTGGGGGGGCGGGTACTGGGGATCGAACTCATGACCACGGCCTTGCCAGGCATATGCATTCTTTTTTAATGAGGTTTATTAGTACAGTGTAGATATACATTATGATTACATTTGCATATGCATTCTTGAAACAAATTTCCTAAGTCTCTTCTTTGTGGAAGGCAGTGGGAAGAGAACGTATTCCCTGTCCTCATGGAGTAACAGTCTAGTAGATCAGTGTTGAAAATCAAAGGTGGCAGCCAAGTCTGCCACTGTTACAGTAGGTGGAAGACCCTGGAGAACACTGGAAATGGAGAGGAGGCGGACAGCTCTCAAAGTTGGAGCACTCAAGCAGGCATCACAGGAGAGGTATGTTTGAGCTGACCCTTCAGAGGTGAGTTAGAAAGGTTTTCCAGGAGTAAAGAGCAGGACCACACTTACCGGGTATGCCTTCCATTGCTATGACCCACAGTTGTAAGCATTTGCTGTGGATAGACTTGCGGTGCCGAAGGAGCTTACACAGAAGCTTGTGGATATTCCACGTGCAAAGTGGAAGACTGAATTAGGTCATTTGGGAGCCACTGAAAACTTCTGAGTGGGAAAGTGACAGAATCGGGTGTTTTAGTGAGGATGACTTTAGCAACTTGAAAAAGGCTTTTGCAACTTCTTTGAAATCCAGAAGTCATCAAAAGGAGAATTTTATCTATGCAAACATTTATAAATTTTCTCTCTGTAGAGAAGAAGATCATAAGAAAAGTAAAAAGACAAATAGCAAACTGGAAAGAAATAGTTGAAACTTACATGTAAATAGTTAAAATTCCTATTTTATAAAATTGAATAGGAGAAAGATAAGAAAAAATCTACTAGAAAATTGCAAGTTAAAATTACTAACAGAGAAATATAAATAACAATTAAATATTTAAAAGATATTTTTCCCTGCAGGAGAAATTAATTAAAACTACAATAATGAGTTTCACTTTTTAGATTTATAAATGACACAAAAATATGATAACACAACTTATTGGTGAAATTACAGAACACTGACCAGGCAGTTGTATATGTTGCTTGTGGAGAAGACCTGACTGGTGAGCAATTTGGCAATTGCTATCAAAATTACAAAATGCAAGGTACTATATACAACCCAACAACTTTCCTCCTAAGAACTAATTCTGTGCTCATGAATGTATAAAATAATGCACATACAATTATTCATGTAGTGTTTTTAATAGAAGAAGGCTGGGAACAATCCAAATATCAAAGAGGGTTGATTAAATTTCAATACAGTACCACAATAATGTAGTACTACTCAACTTTTTTTTATTTTAAGGAGATAAAAACAATGACACAGAACTTCAAAACAAGGTAATAGATTAACACTGGTTAATAAATTGCATATTGTTATCTTCAAAGTAGTTGCTCAGATTGCAAGATCAGGCCTGAAAAATTGATGAAGCAATATAGGCTCTAACCATTCTTTTCAGTGTCAGCTTTTTTTTAAAATGATGGTGAGTTTGGTGGAAAGCTCTCTTATTTATTATTAAGTGAAGAAATAAAATTTAGATGTTAAATATAAAATTTTCTCTGCCAAAGATACCTCTGGAAAGGTACAGAAAGAACAAGTGCCAGGCATTACATATGGGGCCTTGATCAGGTCAGTGGGCAGGAAGTGGGTGGATAGGAAACAGAGTGGTAAGGAGACTTCTCAGCTAATATTTATATTAGCAGTTTTTCTCAAAAGAGGCATAGGCATAGTGAAAGCCACTGCCAATTTTAAGTGTTTAAATAGAAATTTAGTTTTTCCGAGTAGAATAAGAGGAGTCTCTACACCATGAACAATCATTGGCTGGCATACATGCTGGAATTTAACCATAACACAGCCCTTAACATGCAACAGCAAGCCAGCTCATTTTTGCCAATCATTGTAAGTCCTTGGCAGGACCTCACCTGACATGGGTGTCTCAATTATAGTGACCTCTGTTTGTTCTGGGTCCTCCAGAAGGAGGGGAGCAGTCCTTCTCTCTGTTGAATTTTAAGATCTCAACTGTTCCTCATGGCTATTTGATTTATGGAGTTTGGGGCTTTTCTGTGAACATCCTTGATAGCCAATTTAAAGAGCTTGAGGTTAATCATAAAATTTCACCTTCTTTTTTAATTTAGTATGTAACTAATGATCAGCTTTTTTATAAAAGAAAATTTCAAAAAATTGAAATGCTTTCTTCACATTCTCGTTTCTTCCCTAATATCCTCAATTTCCTTTAGCTGTTTGTAATTATTGTTCCCTCAAAAGGGTGGTATTTGTTTCTAGCACATTATTTATATTTTGTGTGCCCAAAACTTTTGTTTAGTTTATGGATACAGCTTTTTTGTTTGTTTTAAATCCGACTATTGGCAGTGCACATTTCTGGTAATGCCCCTCACCCTCTAAAAAAAAAAAAATCTTTCAAGGGTAAGAATTATTCTGTGGTTTTGAGAGCTTTTTAGTTGGCTTAAAACACAAAACTGAATGAAGAAAAAAAGCAGTAATTCTTTGGATATAGCTTTTTCTGTGAGATAAAATGGTTTATTTTAGAAAACCCTCAGTTTCATTGCCAGAAAATGGCATGATGGTTTCAAGGACAAACTTAGATGAGGAAAATTACCATAAACAAAGCAGGTGTTCTCATAAATATGGCTAAGCATATGAATAAGTAGACAAAATATAAGTCTATGGGATTTTCTTCCCTTGAAAAAGCCTTTCTTAGCTCTTTAAGTAAATGCAAACCTTTACATTTATTTGTTGGTGACTGTGGTTATGTATTGCTGTATGTTTATGTTCTGTTCTGAGCCATTTTAAATAGCAACCATTGGCACTGATAGAGTTCATAACTAAGCTTTTCGGTTTTGAATGACTCAATTTCAATTTTCTTTCTCATTTAAGAGTTAATAAAAGGTTCATAACTTTTTATGACCCAATAACATTTTCTGATTGAGTTTTGGTTTTCATATCAGTAAGTTAATGCTTTCTTACATTGGAAATAAGTTTTTAACCTTTATTTTCTTGAAGAATGTGCTGTATTTCTGTAATTACATTTTGCTGTTATACAACTATAGACTAATGATGTATATCATAGTACATGTCATTTGCTTAAAAGTAATTCTTGTATTTTGCATTTAATAATTGTAAAAATACTTTGGCTTGGGGCAGTGAGTTTTTCTTTTTTTTTTAGCCTTTTCCTTTAGTCTCCTCCTCCCGGTGGTTAGTGAAAAGAGGTGAGCTGACAGCCTATGTAGAAGACACTGTGCTTTTCTCGAAGAGGACGTCCAAACAGCAAGTCTACTTCTTTCTCTTCAATGATGTCCTCATTATCACCAAGAAGAAGAGGTAAGCTTTCATCTAGTGGTGTAGGGTGGACTTCCCAAAGTTCTGTCATTCCAGTGCCCATTGGGTGACCACCTTTAAAACCTCGAGATAGCAGACACATCTTACCACATTCTACACATCTTGTGTATACACTGCATCAGTCACCTCTGAGCTTCACATTCTCTGTATTTTCCTCTGTATTTAAGACTGGAATTGTTATCGGTCATGGCTCTAGCCAACCTCTATGGAGTTTTATTGTGTGTAAGTGACTACCATGTATCTTACATGTAGGTGTCACATTGCTCTTTTGGCATTCTGAGAGGCAACACTCTCAAAATTTCTCTTTGCTGCTTTTTACTCTATATTATATACACAGGTTCTGTGACACAGATTAACAGAGGCTGGGGTAACTGCTTGTTCTTTGTGATTTAATTTAAAATCCACAGTTCCTAAGGATTGTTAATCTACAAAATTCATCAAGGCCTGGGAAGGTGTTAACCATCCTGTCATCTGAAAGGAAAAAAGTACCTCTGTTGACAGTGTTTGAGCCTCTTCTGCGTGTGTTGTCAGGTCCAGTTCCGGGAAGTATCTAGGAGGAATATCACAGAAGTCTGTACTTTACAGTATGTGTGCTCTCAAACTGTTTCTGCTCTTAAACAAACACACACATGCACACACATCCATGCAGCTACACACAAACACGCACACACCCCTCCTCAGCTCTTTCTCTAGGGAACATTTTATATTAAATGCAGCCAACACATACACAGTGGGGAAAATATTTTCCTGATGATCATGCCTGAGGATGTCATCTTATCTAGAATATGGACTTAAAATAAAAACGTAAATCTGTGGTATTTTTTTCTCAAATAAAGGAAAAATGATGGGCTGACTTGATAGCATATGATAGGGTAAGGCTAATTCACAGGATAAAATTTAGGCCACGTGGAGAGAATCACAGAAACAGACCCCTACCAAAATGTAAAGTAAATGTCCAAATTTATCATGAAATATTACTGTCAATGCTGCTTCTGAATTAATGACTGTGGAGCCTGAGAATTCAAATTAAATTGAATCAGGTTGAGCATTTCTCTGTAATCAAACCATATGATAAGATGTTCAGCCACTTAGCTGTCTAGGTAAAATGAAAACTTTGTGCGGTTGTCTCTGAAAAGCCATATTATGGCTGTGAAAAATACATAAAGATGCCAGTTTTCATACTTAGAAAAATAATGTTATATCTCTAAGGAGAAATTATTTCTTTTATCCGAGATACCCTAAATAATTTTAATAGGTAGTTTTATAAGTAGAAATTGAACAGACATTATAATTTTTTATTCTTATATTGTCGATTTCTCTTGGCTTTCTTTAAGGTGTTTTGTTTTTAGGGAAGAGTGATAATGTGGTCTCCTCAAATGCTGGGACTCCTAACTTTTAACATCTTCCAGCTGTTGAAATATTTGTTTTACCTAAATGAACCAAAACTTTAACTGTCCTCTTGACTTAAATAATAAAATACATACTGACAATACCAAACTAGTTAAATATTAATGTAGTTTTGATTATGATGACTTTGGCAGCTTGATGAAAGCATTAAAAATGTGCAACTTTTATTCCTGTGCTTGCACAGAAAAAGATTTTTGAAAGTTAAAACTAAGGTATTTGCCGTCCAGCCTAGCAGCTTATTGTACCCTCCACAGGTGGTCTTGCCACTCTGTTTAATATTTTTCTCCTACGTATCCCACATTCATTGCTCAGGTATATTTTAACTTATGTTCATGTTAACAGAAAAAGCAAGACAATACAGCTGCAGTGGAGAGGGTAGCCCGAGGACCTAACTGTACTTTTGTCACAGCTGAGATGTTCTTGTCTTATCAGTTAGTTCATCATACTTCAGGGGGTTTTTAATGAAGAAAACAGCATTGGACGCTTTACTTGTTTATGATCTGAATGTGTGGTAAAAGTGACAAGTAGACCACAGAAGCTTGGTGAGCAAGGCAGGTTAAAAATGTACAGTATGCACAGCGTACTTACATTATAGCTTCAAGGAGGCGACTGCAGATGCTTAGCATGCCAGAGGCTGCAGCAGAACAGATACAGAAGCTTTGAGAGAAGCAGTAACTTAGATTTGGGTACAAGATGCAGATAAGGGATCCTTACCTGTTCCAGCACTTTAGAACCCTACACCCACCCACTGCCTGATGGTAATTCCACAGATCTTCAGGGAGGCTTTTTCACTACCTGGAGTATCTCAAGAGGTCAGTTTGCTGTCCCACCTCCAGTTCAGATTTCCAGGTGATTTTTAAAACTAAGTACACTTCATAAATTGCTGCGTGAATGTCATCACAGCTCTGCAGAACATGTGCGATTGCTAGTGTGTGCAGAGGTGGGCGTGGTTAGCAGCTTCAAGAACAGAAATTTTTGCTTCTCTTGGAATATTAGAAGAAAGTTTAAAGTTTTCACCAGCTTCAGACTGCTTTTCGGTCACTCTGATCCTACCAGATTTTAAAAGAATGCACGTTTGGTTCACGTACTTTCAATGAGAAAGTGAATTTTTGGTGTCTGGAGCTGTGACTAGGAGCTCCTTGGGGTCTACCAGAGTAGTGTTCTCACCTTTAGCACACTGGCATTGGATCTGGTGGTGTTTTACTATGGTGGCTGTCCTCACCCTATGAGGGTTTCACTGGCATCCCTGGTCTTTGGTCATTGTTTGCTAGTAAGACTTTTCCCTAGTTGTAACAACCAAAATTGTCTCCAGACATTGCTGAATGTCCCTGTGGGGCAAAATTGCTCTTGGTTGAGAACCACATTTAGAATAAGAACAGACTATAAACTAGATTTACCTTGGGAGGTACAGGTGTGGGTGACTGTCAGACTTAACACAATCACCATAGCAATAAGATATTATGAAAACAATACACTAATAAGTTGTACTTATGGATGAATAAACACTAACTTGGAATATCCACTCTGTGCCCACAACTAACTTATTATAGTGATTTAATTGCTGACTGCACTCACATATACAACATTATGGGTTAAGTACTGTTGTCCCTAGTTTGGAAATGTGACAACAGAATCTAAGACCTGATTATGTTCAAACTTGTGTTAAGGCACTTAACTGTCTTATTATTATTCTCATTGGATGCCTCATAATCTCCCCCCTAATTTCGCCTGAAGCTGAGAGCAAACTTTTTGCTCCTCTTTTGGTTTCTTACAGCCACTGTATCAAAACATCATGAATGACTTAAGTGAATGACTTAAGAAATTTAAATAAAAAGAAATTTTTTTTTCTCCCAGTTCATGAGGTCAGAAGTCCTACTGTTCACAGGACCACCCTGCTTCAGAAGGCTCTCAGAAAGGATCTGTCACTGCCACTTCCAGGTCCTGGTGGCCCCTGGCCCTGGTGCTTATGGAGCAGTAACACTCCAGTCCCTGCCTGTATCTCCATATGACCTTCTCTCCCACGTCTCCAAATCTCCGGCCCCCTCTGAAGGCATGAGCTCTTAACTGTAGGCTTAACTTTTAATTCCTCTGTGACCCTAACTCGATTACATCTGCAACAATCTCATGTCCAAATAACTTCTAGGTACTGGAGGATTAGGACTTCCTACTTTTGTGAAAGACACAGTTCACCCCCACTGTACTCCCCAGCCCATCATTATTACCTCGGTTAAAGACATAAGTAAGAAATGTGAATCTAGTTCAGAAGTGCACATTTTGAAACATTAACTCATGGCATTTTTATTCGATTTCTAAATGACATGTGTCTTGATTTGAACATGTCTATTTGAGAGTCTCAGATCACTGTCCAGTAGTATCTTCTCCATCAAATCAGTTCCTTCTCCGGGATCCAGGGTTTATTCTCACCTTAGTGAAAAGCACCTGCGTCTGACCAGGTGCTCCAAAGTAGTAAGCCTGACCGGTCACCTTGACTCTTCCTCTTCCCCACTGTGCTGTCCGTGTCCATGCTGTCAGTCACCAGCCTTCTAAGCAGCTCACAAAATCGCTTTTCTCTCTCATGTTGCCACCAGGCCTTCTGAAGCCTTCTGTAAGATACACCGAAGTGGATTCATGCTAACACCTCTCGATTCATTTTCCTATTCCACAACCAAAGAATGCTTTCTAAAAGACACATTTACCTAGGATGTGTCTTGCCAAACTTACCCGTGGTCTTAACTTTTTGCACTTCATACATAATACTTCATTAAACATCACACACCCCCTTTTTGTGATTCCTTACTACATCAGGAAATGCTGTTGCTCTCTCCTAACCTCACCCTACCTCAAACCTTTTCCAGGAAAAGTCCTTTTCATCCTTTAGGTTTTAGATTAACTACTATTTTGGTGGAAATTTTTAATCCAGCTCTCTGGAATGGGTTTATTTTTGTGCCCTCTAGTCCTATAAAAACTCATAAATTCTTTGCCACAATACTTGATGTTAACTATGTGTCCATGTCTGTTTTGTTGACCCTTGAATCCTCAAAAGCTCAGCTTATAATAATCATTTAACAAATATTTCTTGCAAGGGAACCAATCATGTAGCCATCTAAATATAAGCCCTTTGATTGAATGTATGATTCAGTGGGCAGACTCCTTCCCCCATTCTAGTTCTGTGCTACAGTTTCCTTGAATTCTCTTTTAATTTTAATAGATACATGATTTTTATTTTCTACTCTCATTATGTATTCATTTCTAAGTATACTCTTTATGCTGAAAGATATATTTAGCTTTAGTCAGCTCTTCTCAGTTTAGATAATTGCAGTTTGCCGACGATACTGAAAGCACCATAGTTAGGAGCCACGTGAATGTGTATCTTCTTCTGTCTGTTAGAACTGGCTGAGATGTTTACCTTGGCCATGTCAGTATCGTAGAGCTTCTTCACAGCCTGCTTACTTTGGTGCCTGTTAGCCTTGACATCCATAGCGAGCTCAGTGTGCTACCACCTGTTTAATTCGTGGCAGACTTGGTGGTCAGGGTGAACCTGCTGATGGTGTAGTGGACACACACTGTCCAAGAAT